AAAAGACAAAGGGTATCAGAATGGATTAAAAAAACAAGACCCATCATCTATTTGCTGTCTACAGAAGACTCATTTTAGACCTGAGGACACCTTCAGATTGAAAGTGAGGGGATGGAGAACTATCTATCATGCTACTGGAAGTCAAAAGAAAGCTGGAGTAGCCATACTTATATCAGACAAACTAGACTTTCAACTAAAGGCTGTAACAAGAGATGAAGAAGGGCATTATATAATAATTACAGGTCTATCTATCAGGAAGAGCTAACAATTATAAATGTCTATGCACTGAACATGGAAGCCCCCAAATATATAAAAGAATTAATCACAAACTTAAGCAACTTTATTGATAAGAATGTGGTAATTGCAGGGGGCTTTAATACTCCACTTACATCAATGGATAGATCATCTAGACATAGGATCAATAAAGAAACAAGGGCCCTGAATAATACATTGGATCAGATGGACTGGACAGATATAGTTAGAACTCTGCATCCCATAGCAACAGAATATACTTTCTTCTTGAGTGCACATGGAACCTTCTCCAAGATAGATCACATACTGGGTCACAAAACAGCCCTTCATAAGTATACAAGAATTGAGATCATACCATGCGTACTTTCAGACCACAATGCTATGAAGCTTGAAATCAACCACAGGAAAAAGTGGAAAACCTCCAAAAGCATGGAGGTTAAAGAACACCCTACTAAAGAATGAATGGGTCAACCAGGCAATTAGAGAAGAAATTAAAAACTGTATGGAAACAAATGAAAATACAACAATCCAAATGCTTTGGGATGCAGCGAAGGCAGTCCTGTGAGGAAAATACATTGCAATCCAGGCCTATCTCCAGAAACAAGAAAAATCCCAAATACAAAATCTAACAGCACACCTAAAGGAAATAGAAGCAAAACAGCAAAGACACCCCAAACCCAGCAGAAAAAAAGAAATAATAAAGATCAGAGCAGAAATAAACAATACAGAATCTAAAAAAACTGTAGAGAAGATCAATGAAACCAAGAGTTGGTGTTTTGGAAAAAGAAACAAAATCGATACCTCAGCCACGCTTCTCAGAAAGAAAAGGGAGATGACCGAAATAGATAAAATCATGAATGAAAATGGAATTATTATAACCAATCCCTCAGAAATGCAAGCAATTATCAAGGAATACTATGAAAAATTATATGCCAACAAACTGGACAACCTGGAAGAAATATAGAAATTCCTAAGCACCCACACACTTCCAAAACTCAAACAGGAAGAAATAGAAAACTTGAACAGACCCATAACCCGCAAAGAAATTGAATCAGTTATCAAAAATCTCCCAACAAATAAGAGTCCAGGACCAGATGGCTTCCCAGGGGAATTCTACCAGACATTTAAAGCAGAGATAATACTTATTCTTCTCAAGCTGTTCCAAAAAATAGAAAGGGAAGGAAAACTTCCAGACTCATTCTATGAAGCCAGTATTACTTTGATTCCTAAACCAGACAGAGACCCAGCACAAAAAAGAGTACAGGCCAATATTCCTGATGAATGTGGATGCAAAAATTCTCAATAAGATAGTAGCAAATCGAATTCAACAGCATATAAAAAGAATTATACACCATGACCAAGTGAGATTCATACCTGGGCTGCAGGGCTGGTTGAACATTCGCAAATCAATCAATGTGATACATCACATTAATAAAAGAAAAGAACCATATGATCCTGTCAATTGATGCAGAAAAAGCATTTGACAAAATTCAGCATCTTTCTTAATAAAAATCCCCGATGGTGTGCCTGGGTAGCTTGGTCGGTTGAGTGACCGACTTCGGCTCAGGTCATGATCTCATGGTTTGTGAGTTCAAGCCCTGCGTCAGGCTCTGTGCTGACGGCTCAGAGCCTGGAGCCTGCTTCTGATTCTGTGTCTCCCTCTCTCTCCCCCTCCCCTACTCATGCTCTGTCTCTGTCTCTGTCTCAGAAATAAATAAACATTAAAAATTTTTTTTTTAATTAAAAAAATAAAACCCCCTGAGAAAGTTGAGATTTAGAAGGTACATACTTAAACATCATAAAAGCCATTTATGAAAAGCCCACAGCTAATATCATCCTCAATGGGGAAAAACTGAGAGCTTTTTCCCTGAGATCAGGAACATGACAGGGATGTCCACTCTCCCCTCTGTTGTTTAGCATTGTATTGGAAGTGCTAGCATCAGCAGTCAGACAACAGAAGGAAATCAAAGGCATCAAAATTGTCAAGGTGAAGTCAAGCTTTCACTTTTGGCAGATGACATGATATTATACACGGAAAACCCAATAGACTCCACCAAAAGTCTGCTAAAACTGATACGTGAATTCGGCAAAGTCGCAGGGTACAAAATCAACGTACAGAAATCGGTTGCATTCTTATACACTAGTAATGAAGCAACAGAAAGACAAATAAAGAAACTAATCCCATTCACAATTGCACTAAGAACTATAAAATACCTAGGAACAAACCTAACCAAAGATGTAAAAGATCTGTATGCTGAAAACTATAGAAAGCTTATGAAGGAAATTGAAGAAGATATAAAGAAATGGAAAAACATTCTGTGCTCATGGATTGGAAGAATAAATATTGGTAAAATGTCAATACTACCCAAAGCTATCTACACATTCAGTGCAATCCCAATCAAAATTGCACCAACATTCTTCTCGAAGCTAGAACAAGCAATCCTAACATTTGTATGGAACCACAAAAGGCCCCGAATATCCAACATAATTTTAAAGAAGAAGACCAAAGCAGGAGGCATCACAATCCCAGACTTTAGCCTCTACTACAAAGCTGTCATCATCAAGACAGCATGGTATTGGCACAAAAACAGACACATAGACCAATGGAATAGAATAGAAACCCCAGAACTAGACCCACAAACGTATGGCCAACTCATCTTTGACAAAGCAGGAAAGAATATCCAATGGAAAAAAGACAGTCTCTTTAACAAATGGTGCTGGGAGAACTGGACAGCAACATGCAGAAGATTGAAACTAGACCACTTTCTTATACCATTCACAAACATAAACTCAAAATGGATAAAGGACCTGAATGTGAGACAGGAAACCATCAAAACCCTAGAGGAGAAATCAGGAAAAGACCTCTCTGACCTCAGCTGCAGCAATTTCTTTCTTGACACATCCCCAAAGGCAAGGGAATTAAAAGCAAAAATGAACTATTGGGACCTCATCAAGATAAAAAGCTTCTGCACTACAAAGGAAACAATCAACAAAACCACAAGGCAACCAACGGAATGGGAAAGATATTTACAAATGACATATGAGACAAAGGGCTAGTATCCAAAATCTCTAAAGAGCTCACCAAACTCCACACCTGAAAAACAAATAATCCAGTGAAGAAATGGGCAGAAAACATGAATAGACACTTCTCTAAAGAAGACATCCAGATGGCCAAGAGGCACATGAGAAGATGCTCAACATCGCTCCTCATCAGGGAAATACAAATCAAAACCACACTCAGATATCACCTCACGCCAGTCAGAGTGGCTAAAATGAACAAATCAGGAGACTATAGATGCTGGTGACGATGTGGAGAAACGGGAACCCTCTTGCAGTGTTGGTGGGAATGCAAACTGGTGCAGCCACTCTGGAAAACAGTGTGGAGGTTCCTCAAAAAATTTAAAATAGACCTACCCTATGACCCAGCAATAGCACTGCTTGGAATTTACCCAAGGGATACAGGAGTGCTGATGCATAGGGGCACTTGCACCCCAATGTTTATATCAGCACTTTCAACAATAGCCAAATTATGGAAAGAGCCTAAATGTCCATCAACTGATGAATGGATAAAGAAATTGTGGTTTATATACACAGTGGAATACTATGTGGCAATGAGAAAGAATGAAATATGGCCATTTGTAGCAACATGAATGGAACTGGATAGTGTTATGCTAAGTGAAATAAGTCATAGAGAGAAAGATATATACCATATGGTTTCACTCTTATGTGGATCCTGAGAAACGTAACAGAAGACTATGGCAGCGGGGAAGGAAAAAAAAAAAAAAGAGGTTAGAGAGGGAGGGAGCCAAAACAAGAGACTATCAAAAACTGAGAATAAACTGAGGGTTGATGGGGTTGGGAAGGAGGGGAGAGTGGGTGATGGGTAATGAGGAGGGTACCTGTTGGGATGAGCACTGGGTGTTGTATGGAAACCAATTTAATAATAAATTTCATATTTTAAAAAAGTAAATTCTGAACTTCAAAACGTATTAAAATTTTTCCTTAATGTTTTTTAGTTTTTAATTCCAGCTTAATTGTGCTGTTGTCAGTTACATGCTCTCTTTGGCTTCGGCCTTTTTGAAAGTTGAGATTTTCTCTATTGCCAGTAAATTATCAGTTTTAAATGGCCCATGTGATCTTGAAAGAATCGGTTTTGTACATTTTAACTGTGTTCTATTGTATGTTTTCTTGATGTGAATAAAAATATTAATCACCTTGTGCTTGCTGAGAGCACTTGGTTTTATTCCAGTCCTTCATTTCTGTTATCTCTTGCTCACTCCTGTTTAATTTATAATCTTTGTCCTGCTGTTTCTCTTCCGTGTGGAGGTTTGTCCTGGAACAGAATTTCAGTCTGTTTTCACTATTCTAAAAACGATGGCTACAGTTTATCTTTTCAGCTCTTTTCACTTCTAGTAGCGGGGGAAGAAAAAAAAAAGTGGAGAGTATCTTTTTTACTTTTGCTAACCTGAAGAGTAAGCCAGGAGAGATTGAGAATTAAATTTATGAAACCCGAAGAATAAGTTCTTTTCAGATATTCTTTTTATCATTGGCAATAGTTGGTTAGGTTATATGTATAGAAGGGCCTCTTTCTTAAATTTCAAAAACGTGCTGAAAATGAGGATTCATTTTGAGAAACAGTGAAGACTAGCAGTCTTGCATTGGATATCTCAGGTAAGCTACCTTAGTTGTAATTTTTAAATGTTGAACATTAGCCAATAAACTATAGACTTTTTTTGTTCCTTTTTCAGATCAACGACTAAATGAAGTGCTTAGGCGATATCAAATGGAAGATTTTTCCAAATATTCATTGGTACAGGTATGTAAATTAGTTAAGGTCTAATGATCTAGGTTCCAGTTTGGTTGTAAATATAATTACATAAATAAATTCTATTTAGGATTATTTTCATGTGCAGTTGCCTATAGCACTTTGAAATTTTGCTTACAACTTTGATTCTTATAAGGAGGAAGAAAAGCTTGTTCTTACTTAATGAATACAAATTTTTTAACCATAGAAATTGACTTTTTTTTTTCAGAGTTAGCGCTTACATATTACGTATAATGTTAAAATGTCTGAGTTCTAAAATGAGAATTCATTGACATTTTGAAACATCCTAAAATCTTTTCTTAAGATACATTATAGTAGTAAGTTTTAACTTGGAATTCTCATAAATTATGGCAAGCAAAAGCGAATTCAAAACAGTAAACAATATATGGTATTGTTTTTAATATTTCTTTCCTTGGGTACATGTTCTTATTTAAATATTCTGTTAAGGGGCGCCTGAGTGGCGCAGTCGGTTAAGCGTCCGACTTCAGCCAGGTCACGATCTCGCGGTCCATGAGTTCGAGCCCCGCGTCAGGCTCTGGGCTGACGGCTCAGAGCCTGGAGCCTGTTTCCGATTCTGTGTCTCCCTCTCTCTCTGCCCCTCGCCCGTTCATGCTCTGTCTCTCTCTGTCCCAAAAATAAATAAAAACGTTAAAAAAAAATTAAAAAAAAAATATTCTGTTAAAAATTTTTTTGAGCACTAAGGCATACTTATTGCTGAGTTACACAATATTAAAAGAAAAACAGTAGCTCCTACATTAGTGATAGCTCCCTACTGAATTAATAAGGAAGTGTTTTGCTTTTAACATAAATGAATCTTACAATTAAATCATATTGTTTTTAAGGTATTGAGTAACCACATGTGAAGTAACCGCTTGAGCTAAAGCCGACCCGGTTTTTAAGATATTGAAAAGGAAGTTGTGTTTAAGAAATTAAAAAGGAATAGTTTATCTGGTTGACCTGAATATACTTATAAATATTTTCTTTAGCGTATTGACATTTAGCCTACTACTCTGTGTTTTTATTTACAAAGACCAGACTCAGAGTCCAGAGGGTCTTAAAACTATCCATCTGCTATGTTAATAACTATATTGTGTTTCTTATGTTACTTTGTTACTCATCCTTAACTAGGAATGTTATCATTTAGATGGTAGAGAATCTTTCATAATATAGTAGCCTCTAAATTTTGCTCAGATTCTTAGGTTCTTTTTCTTCTGCTTAATGTCTCATAGAATATGCCTGAAAGGAGGATTCAAACAAAGATTGATTTTAAAGCCTGAGAGGATCTCTGGGCATGATATTATATCTGCTGTACACTGTGGCTGACTCGATTATGAAAGATTGTTTTACCAGATAAAACACGAGGTAGCCTTTTAGATGCACCTGCCTTGTACATTGTGATTATAATTAAAGCCTCATGAGAACATGCAAAGTATGGTAAAGTTTTATTTAATAGTGTACTCTTTGGTGAAATTATAGTTCCTTTAGTTTTCTAAAGGTACATGTTCTTCTTTTACGGATACTATTCTTATAGTCACACAATCAAATCTTGATTCTTATCTCTTAGTTTTGATAGTAGTATACTGTTACTGCCTAAGATTCTTCTGCAGTTCACCTCTTCAGAACATGTTGCTGTTGCTGTCTCAAAACACCAATCTCCATGGGTCTTGCCTTTCACTACGTAGTTTGCAGTAATGAAAAAGGAGGTAGTAGGAGAGCATGAGAGGGGAATTAATTTGCTTTCTAGCAATATGGTCCATATCCTTGGCCATATGCATTGCATTCTTTGGTTCTTCACCCCCAGAAACGTTATTCTGGTTTGTGAAAAAAATGTTCAGGAACAATTGTTCTTATTTATTTTTTTTTCTGTTTGTAGTAAAGGAAGACATAGAAGTAGGAGGAAACCATTATCAAAGGTTATGTGAGAACCAGGAGCACTGACTGAGATCTCTTGTCACTAACTTTAGTGATTGCCACTAGCAGCAGAAATCCTTCATAAATTTACATTTGCCCTTTTTGTCCAACTGTATTTCCCAGGTGCCTAAAACAATTCTTGTTAATAGATGCTCAATAAATAATTGTTGAATGAATGAAGCAATTATATCTTTCCTTTCCTCCTACCTACTTATCTTCCAGTATCATTTGAGTTTTATAGCCAAGTAAAAGTGGAATTGTAAAAAGTCATGATCAGCTTGTGAAACACAAATAGTTCATGCTTTTTAGTTCTGTATTTTCAAGATAAAATCCCAATGAAATGCCCTCCTCCTTCCTCATGCTAGGTAAATTGCCAGGACTTGTGTTAAATGAACATACTTTATGAAACTTTTCTAATGTTGGAAAAATAAAGCTGCAGGATCTTGATAATTTATTTCTTGTATTTTAAGTTGGAATTTCAAACTTGATTTTCTATAGATACTATGTTATAAGTGATAGTTAAAATTCCTTAGTGCTATCATTATATAAGGATCATTTAGACTTTCCTTGGATCAAATAAGTTTTGTGGATTGCCTTAAGATGTTTTGTATCATATGATTTCTTAGGGAAATAAATAGCAACTAGTTTCTTGAATGATATTTTCAGGGTTGTTGTGAAATCTAGTTGTCTTCCTTTGATTATTTTGTGTTTTCTACATAAATAAAAAGTATTTCAAGTGACATTGCTCTTTGAGAGTATAGTAGTGGGCACTGGATGACAGGTGTTAAAAGATTTTATTCAAGAAGGTGGGAAATTTCCCTCTTTTCCCAATACTTTGTTCCTACCTTTTTTTTGCCCCCCTTACATGTCTTTCCTCACATGTAGGCTAGTTATGCCTCTGTGCCATAACAATACATGCGTGTACTGAGGGATGAATGTTTGGGTCTCTTCATAGTTGCTGGAGGGATAAGGTAGAATATTAAAAATAAGTTTATTTTCTCCAAAAACTCTCTTGAAAATATCTTCCTTTTCTAGTTTGGGACAACTCTACTCCTTCTGCTTGAAGCCAAAATTAAAGTTAAATTGACATATAGTCTAGCCAGGAAAGAAATGGAACACATAAACTGACATAAACTATGTCAATAAACATAAAAGCATAGTGCCAAGAAGGTATGAGCTGGTTCTGAAAGGGAGAGACAGTCATGGTGCAAATGTATTCATTGATTTAACAACCATTAATTTATTTTTCTAAGTTTGTTTATTCCTTGAGAGCACATGCACACAAGTGGGAGAGAGAGAATCCCAAGCAAGCTCCGCACTGTCTGCATGGACAGAGCCCTATGAGGGACATGAACTCACGAACCGCAAGATGAAATTAAGAGTTGAAATCAAGAGTTGAACACTTAACCCACTGAGCCACCAGGCGCCTCAGCAAACATTAATTTATTAACTCACCAAATCTTGCATTGCATGTGTGTGCTGGGTAAGCTTTGGGGATAGAGCTATGACTATGACAAAGCATCCTATTTCCATGGAAGAGATATAAGTGAATAAGTAATTAATACTGCTATCTTATGTGAAAAAAATAAACAAGGTGCTAAAGTAGAAATTACCACGTATACAGTATAGTAGTGATGTTTGTGGCTGAGATCTATTTTTGGTAGAATGTTCAGAGCAGTCTTCTCTACGGCAGTAGTATTCAAGTTAGCGCTGAAAGTTGAAGAAGGAGCCAGAGAAGTGGACCAAAAAGAGGCCCTAAAGCAGGAAAAAATTTGATTATGCTTGCATAATGTATGGGAACTGGTCTCAACTGTAATCAAATAGTAGTTATTTGAAAATACATTGAAAGGGACAGGAGGGCTACTCCTGTTGATCATGTGTTTAAAAATACAAGACTCAATAGATAAAATATAACAAACCACCTGTACTATTTGAATTGAGTCAACTTACTGGCTTTCTAGGCTAGCACTGTCTGATGGAAAACTTACTGTTTTGATGGAAATGTTATATAATCTTGTGCTGTCCAAAATGGTAGCCACTGATCACCTGGGACTTTGGAGCACTTTAAATGAAGCTAGTACAACTGTTAGATGATTCATTTAATTTTCATTTTGTTTATTTTTGAGAGGGAAAGAGCAAGTGAGCACACAAATGAACAAGGGGCAGAGAGAGGATCCCACAAGGGGCAGAGAGAGAGAGAGAGAAAGAGAGAAGTGGGGCTTACCCGGGGCTTGTGTTTTACCCGAAGTGGGGCTCATGTTCAACCCAAAGCAGGGCTTGTGCTCACCTGATGCAGAACTCGAACTCACCCTAAATGGGGCTCGAGCTCACAAACTGTGAAATCATGACCTAAGCTGAAGTCAGATGCTTAATGACTGAGTCACCCAGGCACCCTATTTAATTTTCATTTTAAATAAATAAAATTTAAATAGATGCGTGTGGCTTGTGCCTATTGTATTGGACAGTGCAGTTGTAGACTCTCCATTTGCTGAATGAAACCTTGTTGATTTTGTATCATCCCAGGATGATGTTAGAAAATCAATGACCGTAGCACTTTAAAAAGAGCCATTTGTAAGAGTTTAGCAATTTCTTACACTCTACATTAATAAAGTGATAAATGATGAAAATCAGTCTCTTCACGATATGAATCATACGCTACAACACCCTTAAACTGTGCAACAATAGGGGCACCTGGGTGGCTTAGTCGGTTAAGTGGCCGACTTAGGCCCAGGTCATGATCTCACAGTTTGTGAGTTTGAGCCCCATGTCAGGCTCTGTGCTGACAGCTCAAAGCCTGGAGCCTGCTTCAGATTCTGTCTCTCCCTCTCTCTCTGCTCCTTCCCTGCTTACACTCTGTCCCTCTCTCTCAAAAATAAACAAACATTAAAAAAGTAAATAAAATATGAAGAAACATTTTCACAAAATGCTAGTCAGCTTGTATTTTCTTCCAAAGGATGGCAGAAAGGATGTCATTAACATATTTGATAGCCAGAGATACAGTTTAAAATCAGGGGCACAAAATTAAACATTCAGAATTATAATTAGAATATTTAGAGAGTGTATAGTTTCCTCAGAGGAAGAAAAGTGTCCAGAAAATTTGTCTACCCAACTATAATTCAATATTATTGGCATTCCTTCTGTGATATACTCTGACCATCATCACAGGAAGTCATCTTGGGATAAAAATAAGTAGAAATTACTTGTACAGTATCCATTTTTCAAGATTCAAGATATATAAAATTCTGTATATATTGCTTTTATTTAGTGTAATTTATTTAAATTTTGTTTAGGAAATATAAAAAGAATATTTATAAATACTTTATTTAAAAAAAATTTTTTTTAATGTGTATTTATTTTTGAGACAGAGAGAGACAGAGCATGAATGGGGGAGGGGCAGTGAGAGAGGGAGACACAGAATCGGAAGCAGGCTCCAGGCTCTGAGCCATCAGCCCAGAGCCTGACGCGGGGCTCGAACTCACGAACTGTGAGATCGTGACCTGAGCTGAAGTCGGACGCTCAACCGACTGAGCCACCCAGACGCCCCTAAATACTTTTAATTATTTTTATGGTGAGAATAACAATGTATAGAATTGTCAGATCCCTATGTTGTACACCTGAAACTAAACATGTCAATTATATTTCAATTAAAATATATATATAAATAAATAACACATATAAATATGGTAATACATATATGTAAATTCTTTTTTTTTTAATTTTATTTTTTAAGTAATTTCTACACCCAATTTAGGGCTCAAACCTACAACCCTGAGATCATGACTCACACTCTCCACTGACTGAGAGAGCCAGGTGCCCTTATGTAAATGCTTGTGTAGTTGATATCAATCTTACCCTCCCAACTTGATTTTTTCCACTAGATCTTGAATTATTAAGTCCTACATACTTTTATTCTAAAAGTTTCACTAGCAAGTGGGAAAGGATTACTGAATCTATATTATTATTCTGTGAAAATTTTTTATATTTTGTTTTATTATGTTTATCTTTATAATCGTATCATTTTTTCAGCTTATTTATTTTGAGAGAGAGAGAGTGCAAGCAAGGCAGAGACAGAGAGAGACAGAGAGGGAGACAGAGAATCCCAAGCAGGCCTGAAGTGGGACTCATGAATCATGGGATCATGACCTGAGCCCAAATCAAGAGTTGTACTCTTAGCCAACTGAGCCAACCAGGTGCCCTTAGGATCATAATTTTTATGATTTGGATTATTGGTCCTTTATTCATAGGTTGGCATTTTATTAGCAACTATCATTAGAAAATAGTTTCAGAGCAGTGTCTTTATAGAATTCAGTTTAACCAATATATGTTGAGCACCTCCTCTATGTAAGGCACTATGCCAGGAGCTTTAGTGCTATGAAAATGCGTATCATAATACTACCATTTCACAGGGACCTAAAGACTAAGAAATATGGGTTTGAGAAAAATGTTAAATAACATATTATTTAACATATTATTATTATTCGTATCTTAACCTGAAAAGGCATATTATTCGTATCTTAACCTGAAAGCCAAAAATGAGTATCACAGGGAAAAAGGTGATCATATATAGTTGGAGAGATCAGGGAAAGTTTCCTGAAGGATGTAGCATGTTTGATGAGTACTGAAAAGTAGCTAAGATTTTAAAAGAACTTCAATGGGGGCTAAAAGAAGAGGTAGTGGAGTATTTAGGGAGTAAAACATACTTCATTTTTTCAAAATGTGTTTGGCATATATGGAGAAGTAATGGAAAATAACATTAGAAAGGATAGATTGTATTTGCATTGTAGAGGGCCTTGAATGGTTAAATTGAGGAGTTTGGACTTAATTTAGTAAACACTAGGAGATTACTAAATATTGTTTAAAAGAATGATAAAGTGGAGTGAAACATGGTAAGAGTAACAATTAGGAAACTTCTAATTGATGGGTGGGAGGTTAATGAGAGCTTGAATTATTATTTTGTAGACTGCCATCCATCTCTAGCTATCAGTCATAACATTGGTAGTTGATTTGATATTTATAAAAATTCCTAAGAAATTTGAGAAATAATATTTTTAAGGTTTGAACCACTTAGTTATCCCAAGAAGATTTTAACTAACTTTTGGACAATTGAAAGTTAAACTATCTCTTGCCCCTTAATTAATTCTTTAATAAACACAATAACTATTTTTTAATACTCTAGGATTGAATAAATCCCTCTCTGAAATTGCATAAACTACTGGATTCATTTATTCTTTAATCCATCAGGATTCTCCCTGGAAGGTTACCTTTTCTTTTTGTCTAATTCATCTTACAGTTCTGGATCCATGTAAACATGTCTACTGAGGCTTTATATTTTGAGAGCTAATCCTTCCCACGTTGGTTGAAAGCTCATAACATATACCTTGGTTAGCCAATAGATTTTCCCCCATATTAAGAAAAAAAAAAAGAAAAAAAATAGCCAAGATTTATTAAGAGCTTTCTACATGTCAGGAATTATGCTAAACACTTTATATAACATTATTCCTTATTAAATTTACATATTTCTTATATATTCTTCAGTATAGTTCAGTATAGTTAATTTTTCAGTAAAGTTATAGCATCTTTTTTTGTTTTTTATTCTCATGTGCTACCTTTTGTTACAGTAGTGAAAAGATATATTTCTTTTTACATTTTCAAATTATTGCTGGCACTTGGGAAGGCTACTGTTCTGTTGATCTTCTATGGGATAACTTACCATATTCTCTTATTAGACCTAATAATTGGTAGATTATACATAGAGTTTTCTGGGTAAATGGTCAAATTATCTGTAAATAATAAGAGTGTTGTTTCTTTTTCAACTTTTAAATTCCCAGCCCTTTACCCTAGTTCCACTGACTAGAACCTCTAGTGCAGTGTTGAATTTAGCAGTGATAGTGAGCAACCTTGTGTTATACTGTATTTAATGCAGCACTTTTGATGTTTCACCATGAAAGATAGTAATTGATATAGGTTTCTGATAGATACTTTGTCAAATTGAGAAAAATTCTTCCTATTCGACTTTGCCAAGAGTTTTTGTTACATATGGATGTTAAAATTTACCAAATTTGTTACATATGGATGTTAAAATTTACCAAATGCACTTTCAACATCAATTTAGATGATTACTCTTTCCTGTTTTGTTTTTACTGTCATTTTGGCTTCGACGATGTGAGAAAACATTTTAAGATGCAATATTCTCTGTTGTAGAAAGCTGTCTTCAAAGGAGGTGGAGATGACACATTAGAAAACACACTAGTTGACCAAAGGTATGTTTGAGTTACCAGAAAAATACTATTTTCTTAAATATATTTATTATTGTTAAAATAATTTCTTTAATATTAGGATTATTTCATGGTCTGCTATAATTAGATTTAAATGATACGTCATTGAATATACAAGTGTGGGAAAGCCAGCATTAGAATCTACAAGAGTAGTTCTCAATTGGGGTGATTTTATCTCCCTCCTATTTGCAACCTCCTCCAGACCTTCCAAGAGTAATATGGTTGTAATCTGAAACTGGTTCCCATATGTGGAGGGCAAGGACAGACTGAGGGAAGAGGCAGACCACTCCGGGTTGGTAGGTGGCAAATTTATTAAGCAATAGAACCTACTTATGAGTTATCTTGTTGTAGGACACTGCAAGACAGCTAGATTTCCTCACCTGCCTGCCATAATCTTAAAAGTTTGTGTAGAAGCTTTAACTGGGTTCAGTCACATACACAAAAGGCTTTAACTGGGTTCACTTACATCCCAGTACAGACACCCTCAGCATCACATTACTATCTTAAGGCTGTATCCTTGGAGCTACTTCTGGGTGTGAAGAAGACAAGCAGAATACATATTCTAAGTACAGGGGAGGGTCAGGGAAAGGCCTCCAATTGCCCAGGTTCAGCTCAAGGGTCAACTGGCAGTTGTCTTGATGACCTCCTTCATTACCTCCCCTTCCCAGATATTTGATAGCATCTGGAAATATTGAGATAAGCTTGAGAACACGAAAAAGGCAAAGTATTGATTTTTATGGATAAATGTAACATAAAAATATTGATGTTCTATTTAATTCACATGCTGCATATTACACTAGATTAAACAGAATATGAGATTTTTAAAATTATGTATTTTTATTAGCTTTTTAGCTCCTCTTATTATTGAGTATGATAAACATCTGGAAGAACTAAATGGGCAGCTGAAATATTACCAGGTATGAAATCATAGTTTTCAAGTTTTTTTATAATATTTTATTTTAAAAAAAGAAGTAAAATACTCTTCAAAAACATTGATGAGGAATAACATATTTAGCTATATCTAATCAATTCTTGGCTCTCAATAAGAAAGTATGTGTGTATTTAAAGATTATCTTGAGTTTCATTTTTTTTTAATTTTATTGATTTATTCTCAAGTTAGTTAACATACAGTGTAGTCTTGGTTTCAGGAATAATTCATCTCTTATATATGATACCCAGTGCTCATCCTGAAAACTGCCCTCCTTAATGCCCATCCCGTCACCCATTTAACCCACCCCTACCCACCTATCCATGTCCCCACCATCAGCCTTCAGCTTGTCTCTGATTTGAGAGTCATCTATGGTTCGCCTCCCTCTCTGTTTTATCTTATTTTTCCTTTTCTTCCTCTGTGTTCATCTGTTACGTTTCTCAAATTCTACATGTGAGTGAAATCATATATCTGTCTTTCTCTGACTGACTTATTTTGCTTAGTATAATGCCCTCCAGTTCCATCCATGTTGTTGCAAATGTCAAGATTTCATTATTTTTTATTGCTGAGTAGTATTCCGTTATATATACATATAAACCACATCTTACTACAGTTTACTTTTCATCTTTGACACTGGTACATACAGATGACTGGCATTTTAGTAGGCAGTTACATTAGGGTATATGGAAATCATGGTTGTCGAGCTATTCCAGAGAAAGTGGTGACACGTTAACTTCTTCCTTGTGTGAAGGAATAGGAGTGCGAATTACTGGCTAATTCATTGCAGTGTTTCTACAGTGTAAAATAAATGTAACCTTACTTTTTAGCCCCTCCCACCCCCGCAAATTTTTCTTAATCTATTCATCAGTTCATAGACATTTGGACTTTTTCCATTAATTGGCTATTGTTAATAGCACTGCTTTAAACATTGGGGTGCATGTGCCCCTTCGAATCAGAATTCCATTGTCCTTTAGATAAATTCCTAGTAGTGCAGTTGCTGTGTTGTAGGGTAGTTCTATTTTTAATTTTTTGAGGAACCTTCATTCTGTTCTCCAGAGTAGATGTACCAGTTTGCATTCCCACCAGCAGTGCAAAACGGTTCCCCTTTCTCCACATCCTCGCCAACATCTGTTGTTTCATGAGTTGTTAATTTTAGCCACTCTAACTGGAGTGAGGTGTTATATCATTGTGGTTTTGATTTATATTTCCCTGATGATGAGGAATGTTGAGCATCTTTTCATGTGTCTTTTGGCCATCTGGATGTGTAATTGGAAAAGTGTCTATTCATGTCTTTTGCCCATTCCTTCACTGGATTATTTGTTTTTCAGGTGTTGAGTTTGGTAAGTTCTTTATAGATTTTGGGTAATTAACCCTTTATCTGATTTGTCATTTGCAAATATCTCCTACCATTCTGTTGGTTGCCTTATACTTATGTTGATTGTTTCCTTTGCTTTGCAGAAGCTTTTTATCTTGATGAGGTCCCAATAGTTCATTTTTGCTTTTGTTTCCCTTGCCTCTGGAGACATGTCAAGTAAGAAGTTGCTGTGACTGAGGTCAAAGAGGTTGTTGCCTATTTTCTCCTCTAGGATTTTGATGGTTTCCTGTCTCACATTTAGGTCTTTCATCCATTTTGACTTTATTTTTGTGTATGGTGTAAGAAAGTGGTCCAGGTTCATTCTTCTGCATGTCACTGTTCAGTTTGCCTAGCACCATTTGCTAAGGAGATTGTCCTTTTCCATTGGATACTCTTTCCTGCATTGCCAAAGATGAGTTGGCCATATATTTTGGGGTCCCATTTCTGGGTTCTCTATTCTATTCCATTAAAATGTGGGTCTGTTTTTGTACCAATACCATACGTCTTGATGATTACAGCTTTGTAATACAAGTTGAAGTCTGGGATTGTGATGCCTCCAGCTTTGGTTTTCTTTTTCAGCATTACATTGGCTATTCGGGGTCTATTGAGGTTCCATACAAATTTTAGGATTGTTTGCTCTAGCTCTAGAATGCTGGTGTTATTTGATAGGGATTGCATTGAATGTGTAGATTGCTTTGGGTAGTATCGACATTGTAACAACATGGAATGTTTTTCCATTTGTTTGTGTCTTTTTCAATTTCTTTCATAAGCTTTCTATAGTTTTCAGCATACAGATCTTTTACCTCTTTGGTTAGGTTTATTTCTAAGTATTTTATGGTTTTGGTGCAGCTGTAAATGGGATTGATTCCTTGATTTCTCCTTTTGTTTCTTCATTGTTGGTGTATAGAAATGCAACCGATTTCTGTACATTGATTTTATATCCTGCGACTTTGCTGAATTCATGTATCAGCTCTAGCAGGTTTTTGGTGGAGTCTTTCAGGTTTTCCATGTAGAGAATCATGTCATCTGTGAAGAGTGGAAGTTTGGCTTCTTCTTTGCCAATTTGGATGCCTTTATTTGGTTTTGTTGTCTGATTGCTGAGGCTAGGACTTCCAACACTATGCTGAACAACAGAGGTGAGAGTAGACATCCCTGTTGTGTTCCTGATCTCTGGGGGAAAAAGCTCAGTTTTTCTCCATTGAGGATGATATTAGCTGTGGTCTTTCATATGTGGCTTTTTTAAAGATATGTTCCTTCTATCCCAAGTTTTGTGAGGGTTTTTATCAAGAAAAGATGCTGTATTTTGTCTAATGCCTTTTCTGCATCTGTAGACAGGATCATATGGTTCTTATCCTTTCTTCTATTAATGTGGTATATCACGTTGATTGATTTGTGGATATTGAACCAGCCCTGCAGTCCAGAAATGAATCCCACTTGCTTATGGTGAATAATTCTTTTAATGTACTGTTGAGTTCTATTTGCTACTATCTTGTTGAGAATTTTCATATCTAGGTTCATCAGGGATATTGGCCTGTCATTCTCTTTTCAGTGGGGATTTTGGTTTTGGAGTCAAGGTAAGGTAATGCTACCTTCATAGAATGAGTCTGGAAAATTTACTTCCATTTCTGTTTTTTGGAACAGTTTGAGAAGAATAGGTATTAACTCTGTTTTAAATGTCTGGTAGAATTCCCTGGCAAGCCACCTGGCCCAGGACTCTTGTTTGTTGGGAGATTTTTGATAACCCACTTACTTATTCATTGGTTACGGGTCTGTTCAGGTTTTCTATTTCTTCCCATTTGAGTTTTGGTAGTGTATGAGTGTCTAGGAATTTGTCCATTTCTTTGTCCAGTTTATTGGCATATATATTTTTTCATAGTATTATCTTACAGTTGTTTGTATTTCTGTGGTGTTGGTTGTGCTCTTTTATTTGTCATTTTATCTATTTGGATCCTCTTTGAGAAGTCTGGCTAGGGGTTTATCAATTTTGTTGATTCTTTCAAAAAGTCAGCTGTTAGTTTCATTGATCTGTTGTACTGTTTTCTTTTGGATTCTATTTCATTTATTTCTGCTCTAATGTTTATTATTGCCCTTCTTCTGCTGGGCTTTATTTACTGTGGCTTTTCTAGCTCCTTTAGGTGTAAGGTTAGGTTGTGTATTTGGGACCTTTCTTGCTTCTTGAGACAGGCCTGAATTACAATGTATTTTCCTCTTAGGACTACCTTTGCTGCACCCTAAAGAGTTTAGACTGTCGTGTTTTCATTTTCATTTGCTTCCATGTATTTTTCAATTTCTTTTTCAATACCCTGTTTAACCCATTCATTCTTAAGTAAGATGTTCTTTAGCCTCCATGTATTTGGAGGCTTTCCAAATTTTTTCTTGTGGTTGATTTCAACTTTCATAGTGTTGTGATCTGAAAATATGCATAGTATGATCTCAATCTGTTTGATCTCAGTCTGTTGAGGGCTGTTTTGTGACCCAGTATGTGGTTTATTTTGGAGAATGTTCTCAACTGTAATTTGTTCAAATAAACCTTCTGCCCCTTTCTCTCACTGTTCTTCTTCTGGAACTCCTATGATATGGACACTTGTTTCATTTCATGGAATCATTTAGGTCTCCAATTCTCCCCTCGTGATCTAATAATTTCCTTCCCCGCCCCTTTTTTTTTTTCAGCTTCTTTATTTTCCAAAATTTTATCTTCTATTTCATCTATTCTCTCTTCTGCTTCTTTCATCCTCGCTGTCACTGTATCTAGGTTATTTTGCATCTCAGTTATAGCATTTTTTAATTCATCATGACTAGTTCTTAGGTCTTTGATCTCTGCAACAAGAGTTTCTCTGGTGTCTTCTATGCTTTTTTCAAGCCCAGTTGTTAATCTTATGACTGTTATTCTAAATTCTTGTTCAGATATATTATTTATATCTGTTTTGAGCAATTCTCTGGCTTTGCTTCTTGCACTGTCTTTTGGGAAGAATTCCTCCATTTGGTCATTTTGGCTTTGATTTCTTCTTGCACTCTCTTTTGGGGAGAATTCCTCTGTTTGGTCATTTTGGCTAAGTTTCTGTCTTTTGTGTATTTTAAAAGCTTCTTGTGTGTCCTGCACCTGAGTGTACTACTGTATTAAAAAGGGGTCATACCCTATCCAGGGCCTAGCACTACAGGAAGTGGTTTTTGTATATGTGGTGTGCACTCTGTTGTACATTTTGGCTGCTCATCCCAGTGATCAGTACTGTGCAGAGCTCCTCCTTGCTTATAGTGGTGGAGTGTGTGGACCTTCAACCAGGGAAGGTTTGATTTGTTGTTGAAGTAACCCTGGAAAAGCATAGGGAAAAAAAGGGTGGGGGAATCCTGATCCCATAAAAAGAAAAATGAAAGGAGAAAATAGTCCAAACAGCAAATCAAGGGGGGAAAAAAAAGGGGGAAAAAAAGGAAAAAGAAAACAAAACAAAAAAGTATGAGGCTAAATTCAGAGGAATAGGAAAATAAGAAATAGGAAAGGTGGAAAAATGATAGAATAAAAATTTTTGCTAAAAAAAATATTTATACACACACACACACACACACACATATATATATAGAGAGAATAAGAATTGACCAAAAACAAACCAGAAACTATGTGCCTGATTCTAAAAGAATAA